TCCCCACACGTCGTTAGTCGTACACCTACTGCCATGTCCGTCTGGAATCGACTTGTCATGTTGCATCCTGCACTCGTAGCATCACATCGCGCAGATAGTCTTCGTGCGCTCCGGGGCGGGTGCGGATAACCATGAGTCCCGAAAATGGGGATGATGCACGTCCCAACAGCCAACTAGCGGGGGATTTTCAGGAGGGCGTCAGACGACGGTTGCGGAACTTTGGCTCCGCGAAGCCCCGGAGGGTGTTTGGTCGGCCTTACCCCCCAAATGTATCGTGGTGGCCCCGCTGCAGCACCACGAGGCGTGAACGAGGTATTCCCCGAACCTCCCACGGATCCCGAAATCATTCGATTTTCATAAAAATTCACGGCGATGGCCAACATGATGTGGCACACACGCAGAAGAACGACTTGAAAAGGGTTGGCCGCTCAACATGAGCGAAACGTCATCTCGGCTGCCTGATTGACTCGAAATCATTTGTTCACACAGGTCAAGGCGCATGGAGCACAGCAATCGAGGCGGCAGTTGTCGGACAATGAGGTGCATGAGCCTGCTTCTGTGTGGCAACCACATGAATGTCGTTGCATTCATGAGAGCTCGGGGGCTGAATAAGTTTCGTCATGTTTTGTGCATGTCGTCTGTAGGTCCGCCTGTGTTGCTGTAAACATCTAGTAGCACCTGATAGCTCAAATTCTGTCAACAGTGGCGTGCATACAAGAAGTCTTACCGATCTTACCGAGTGCGGGATCGCAAGCCGGTGCTCAGGCATGACACCTCAGAAATGTACATAAAAAAAGGAACCAAGTGCGTGCCTGGAGGCCAGTATCGGCGCACGTCGACCAGCAAAGGCGTGGCTGTGGTCCGGCTGAAGGGCCACCGCTAACAATGTCATGTCCTCGTTTATTCTCCCTAATGCCCATACCTTGGTATTGAGCACGCTTGGGTAAACTTCAAGCTGTTGACGGCCAGCAAAACTACATGCCAACGCCATAGATCTGACCTGAAATGCGCCGGTCCCGATATCCCAACCTCAACTATCCAACCAAAGCCCAATGCCTGGAGATTCGCCGATATAACGCCATGGTCTGCAATCCTGCAGGAAGGATTCGACGCCATTCAAGTAGCAAAACGGTCACAGGGAAGCCGACAAGGGCTGGGCGAAGTTGAAGCCTACAATGCCCTCGGCAACGGCATTCTGCCACGCGTTGTCGGCCCCCGACATCACGGAGATTCGGCGTCCAATGATCCCATCGTCGCCGACCTGCAGTGATATGGGCTGGTTCAACACCAACTCGAGAGCATCGCCCCCCTGCACAACGGCCCCGTTGGCAAAGTTGAACTCGTGGAACAGCCCGCAGTCTTCTCTTCGTCTCGTCATGTCGCCCGACTTGCTGTGGATGGTCAGATCGAAACTGAGGAGGGGCACAATGAAGTACGTACTGGATGATGAACGTGAGCCCTCCCAATGCAGACGATGCATGACCCTCGCCCCAGGTCCAACGAGCATGCGTCGCTGTAGAGCTGCATGGGTCGCCCGGTGTGTGGAAAGAAAGGTCGCCTCGCATTTTCTGGCCCTCTGTCTTGACAAGACCGTCGGTCGGATTGAGTACGGCCAGAGCGCCGCCTCGGGGCCTGTTGGAAGTATCGGGGCCACACATGGTGGTTCTTGAGGGTATGCTTCGGTAAGATGTTTCGGTGGGCGTCGGCCAATGCGGGAGATGCAATGCAAATGAGATTCAACAGAACGATCAAAGACACAAATCCCCAGCGCAACGAAGATGACTGTCCTTTTAAACGAAGACCAGCTTTGCATAGGTATCAACGGCGTGGGAGCTCGATATAAGACGACCCTGATGGCTCGGTTCCTAGCGAGACATGGAATACCGGGGTGGCCCAAGCTCCCAAGGGCCGACACACCGAAAACATGCGCAAACCGCGACCCTGCCGATAGATGGGGGGGCCGTACCTGACATAAGACAGGTGCCGACGAATCATAGCCTGGCATTGTTGAGAAGATTAGAGCAAGTATCAACCACGCGCTTGTTTCCTCGTCAGTCGACAATGCATCCCAGTTTCAGCCGGATCATCGACCATCGCAGGCCGGATCTCGACGTCAAATGGCTATCATGGCAAATGTCATGAATGGCATCTGCAGCATAAGCTAGCTGACATGATAGAGTGCCGACCAATTATCCCGCCGTCTAGGATCGTCCCGTGAGCTCATGACGAGGGGCGGCCCTCAAGGTTCGCATCGGAGACTCACGCCTTCCCAGTCGCGCATCCAGTCGCGCAATGCAACGTGCTCCAACCCGCGGCAAGCACGTCAGCCGGCCCTCTCGGCACGTTGACTGAAGCAGGAGCTCTGGAGGAGAACGCCTGCCTTGATTAAACTGCTCAAACCCCGCCGCCATGGGCCAACCTTGTGTCTGTTCGACAGAAACCCCCTCCTTCTTGTCTTCTTCCCTCTATCAACATCAACACTACTCCTTGTCCTGCTGTCTCTTCCCAACAGAACTTTGAGCCCTGAAGAAAACCATACCGTCCCAGCCGTTTCTGCTCCCTTGTAGTGTCGACACGACGTGCGATTCAGCCACAATCCACCATGGCATACTCACTTCCCCCTCTGCCGTACGCCTATGATGTACGTCAAACCCCTCCCCTGGCGTGGTTGCCTGCCGGCCGGCCGCCTCATGAGACGCTTGACGAGAGCCAACAGCCATCATTGTTGGCTGCCTCGTACTGACTGTCTACAGGCGCTCGAGCCACACATCTCGGCCCAGATCATGGAGCTACATCACAGCAAGCACCACCAGACGTACGTCACCAACCTGAACAAGGCCCTCGAGACATACAACCAGAACCCCCTGTATGCCCGCGCCGGTGTCCTTGCTGCTCTCAATTTCCATGGCGGTGGCCACATCAACCACTCTCTCTTCTGGGAGAACCTCTCGCCAGCGTCGAGCCCCGACGCCAGCACCGACTCGGCCCCGCAGCTCATCGCCGAGATCTCCAAAGTCTGGGGCGGACTCGACCAGTTCAAGTCGGCTTTCAACGCTGCTCTTCTCGGCATCACTGGCAGTGGCTGGGGCTGGCTCATCAAAGATGAGACGAACCGCCTGGCCATCGTCACCACGAAGGACCAGGACCCCGTCACCAAGGGTGTCCCCATCTTCGGCGTCGACATGTGGGAGCATGCATACTACCTGCAGGTACGTCACCTCGAGTTCTGTCCTATGCACCAGCACCTGACTCTCTGCCCTAGTATCTTAATGGCAAGGCTGCCTATGTCGAGAACATCTGGAATGTCATCAACTGGAAGACAGCTGAATCTCGCTTCTCGGGAGCTCGCGAGGACGCCTTCAAGGCTCTCAAGGCTGCCCTCTAGACTAATCAATTCACCATGAGCCCTTCTTACTATACTCCAACACCGCACTCCCCATGTGACGATCGCAGCCTCCTGCCGGGCATATGGCCCGCTCATGTCTCGGCCTTGCCCAACCCCAACAGCTCGCTAGCCTTGCTCTACCATACACTCAGCCGTCACAGAGTCTGAATCAGATATTTCGGCTCATCCTACTGCTCATGATATGCCATTCTTGGTTCTGTACAATTGCCAGCAAAAAATGACTTGGGCGCCACCGGGGCTGGTGTAGTGCCAGCACCACCCACGTCCTCTTCTCTTGAGGCATGCGACACAACAGCGTCACACCGACAGTGGAAGCGTCGACGGTCGCCTGCTGCCCAGGGCTGCCCACAAAACCTTAGGCTTCACACATCATGACTTCGCAGAGCACCGCTTCGTGTGACACCATGGGTGCGTGCTGGGGCCACCATCCTCTCGACTATGCCTCAAACTCACCCGATAGCGTTCGTGACACACGAATGCTGACTCTAGACGCCAGGATGCCGTACGCCTCGTGCGGCGGGTCATTCACATGGCCAACATTGACCAACGGCAGCATGCTCCCGTCGTCCCTTTTGCGGGCCTTCTCTATGCCACTGCTAACCCTCCTTCTGATCACCACTGAATCCAAGTCCAGGGGCGTCCAATGGCTTTTGCGTACAGACAAAAATACCCGAATGGCGGCATCAGATCCCCGAAAGGCTCCACCGAATGACCTGATGCGCAAACGACGAGGGCAGGCTGACGTGGGATTCATCAACCATCAACTGACCCGACCCCGACACGACAAAAAGGCGGACGCCACGGAGAGCAGGTCTCCGCCCCGTGTCCCTGACGACCTTTGACGAGTACACTGCAGCAGCATTGCGCATTCATCGGCACGCTGTGTCAAGTGCCATATATGCACGATATCCTGTCACTGCCTGATGTACGCATGGCGCCATTCACCCAGATCTGCATGCAAGATGATTGCAAGGTTGTTTCCTCTCAACACCCGCCATTCTGGCTCAAGCTAATCACCATGAACCTGTGCTCCCTGACCGCTGCCTCCACGCTCTGGTCCACATATCTTGTAACTCCAGAGCCGAGCTAGAGAAACAGAGTATGTCTGGGTTGCGGTGGGGCCACTCTTGAAAAAGTTGTGCACTGCTGGGCAGCCACGTTGGCTTTCCCTGCTAGGCTGCGGAGGTTGGTGACCTCGTGGCTACGACTGCTCTGAATATTCGCTCAGCCGGCGGTCCGCAGATAGCCCCGGGCAACGAGCAGGCAATCGTCGGTTCCACGCAGGTCAGCTGCTGCAGGTACCCGAGGCTGTACAACATGAACCTGCGAAAGCCGGTCTTCGCTGGCTCGACAGACCCGGAGGCCACGATACTTTGGGCACTAGCGCAGGAATGTTTTTGTGTTGATGTAAGTTGTGGCTTGATTCTATCTACGGCAAACGCTACCTCCAGTCGTATTGGGAACCAGGGTAAGAAGAGTCCCCTGAGCCTTCGGAGATTGGTTTTAGTGGACATTGACTTGAAGTTGATTGTGTCTTCAGCCGAATACACTTAGCAATAAGACACCGTAAGTAAGTAAAGAAAATCACCTCCATATGCAGTGCGTCTCGAATCCAGCTTCGGCTCCGGTGATGCGTCGTCGAGGCCTTCGAAAGGTTGTAGCCAGTGACTGCAACTGCTGAATGGGGCATAATCAAGAATCGTAAGCAAGCGTTTGTACGCAGGAACTATTATCATACACATGCACACAGTTCAAATTGCGAAGAGTAGGCCACCGGAGCCCTGCTTCTTGACGAGCATATCGGCGTTCGAGGTCCATACAAGTTCCCATTACGCAAATTTGCTACTGTACGGAGGAATTCAGCTTCTTTGGTCTGTCATTTCTAAGCGTCTATAGATTCGTACCTTGACCCCTAACGCCACAGGTATACGAAGAGAATAACTCGACAATCTCAGCTGCTCCATTCGAAATGGTGCGTCATAGTTCCAGTCTGTCGATGGCCGTATTGCAGTCAGGGGCCGGCAGCCCCTGTTCACACTATCGAGAATCACGTTATCTCCAAACGGTCGAAAGCAAGACATAATGCACTAGCAGCCACCGCCTCTTTACCTTGAACCAAGTCGGTGGCGGGTAGCACGGGCACTTGCATGGGTGGTCCCGACAAGATTTGAAGCCATTGCTCAAGGTGAATACGCGGCCGCAGCGAAAAGCTGTCTAATTTGGGAGCCAGCATGGACCATGGGAAGCCGCTGGTCAGACGGGTACAGCTGATTGCATAGCATTCTGTCGTGCCTGTGAAAGACTTGAAATACGGGTCTCGGGGAACAGAGTCAAGTCCGTTTTCTGGTATATAAAGCGAGCAGCTTCGATGCTGTTTTGCCTTGTGCTTCAACGGTTAGAGTCTCGAGGCTAGACAAAGTAGCTGGAACATCATCTCCGCCCTTGGTTGGGCATTACATTCGTTCATCTTTTTGAATCTCTTTACCCGGGTCTCGTATCACCATGATGAATATCCTCGCTCCTCTGGCATTGTTAAGCCTCGGGTAGGCGTCGCGGATCATCTGCACAATGACCTTTTGCTGACCATGCGGCTAGGAATGTTGCAGTCAGGGCATTCCCCCAGGCCTACAATGAACACGAACCACCATCGACTGTCACCGTCACTACGTGTGCTGTAGGTTGTGCAACCACCACTGTGACCGTGACTCAGTCGGCTGGTTCATGTGCGCCATGTTTGGCAAGCTCTGCTTCCTCGGGCGTGGAATCTTCTGCCACTGTCACCGAGACGCCCAGTACGATCGAGTCCACGCTGCCCATCATCCCGTCGACCCAAACGTCTGGTCAGATTAGCTCCTCTGCTGCCATCTCAAGTTCCGTCCCAACATCGGGCACATTCACAAACTCAACTGTGTCACCCCCGGGCGCTTCATCGAGCCTACCATACAGCATCACCAGCTCGGGTGGATCCGTTTCTTCTTCTCTTTCCTCTGTCAGCATTTCCGTCCCTTCCAATTCCACGACGACGACGAGCGCTCTCAGCAGTGACTCGACAACTGTTCCGTCTGGGAGTATCAGCTTCTCGCTTTCCTCGTCATACGATAGCACACCGTCTTCGTCAACACTCTCTGCGAATAGCACGAGAAGCTATGTCTACCCGAGCTCCTTTTCTGTGACCGGCTCCGTGTCCACCTTTGCTTCTCGCAGCGCAACCAGCAGTGACACAGCGACCGGGCCCCTTCCTACCTCTGGCCTGCCTTCGTCCAGTGCCGTAACTTCTGGCGGCATCAGCAGTGGACTTTCTGGTACTTCTTCTGCGAGCGGAATCCCGTCAACGCTCCCTGTTCTATCGTCTCAGTCGAGCAGTGCCGGGACCAATTCGACTTGGACCTATCCAACACGCACTTCATCGGGAGGAACGGGCGTCTCGTCAACGCTACCTTTGTCATCTGGGACGTCGAATGTTGAGACAAGCAGCGGCAGTGCAACTTACCCGCCTGGATCCTCGTCCGCGCCGACTGACACGTCTTCCCTCGCAGTCACATCGGAGGTTTCCAGTATTGAGAGCAGCAGTGTCTACACGTACCCACCAGAGCCGTCGTCTAGCTTATCGAGCGTGTCTTCAAGCCTGCCGACTTCTAGCAGCCGGGGCAACAGCAGTACCACCACATACCCGACCGCTACCGTATCAAGCGCAAGCGTCATTTCCTCGTCGACTGGCTTCGAAAGCTCGTCCGTAGAGCTCACGACTACCACAACGATTGAAACGACCGTGACACGCACCAATACCTACACACCGCCGGGCACGAGCTCGAACCCCTCTTCTGGATTTTCAAGCGCCCTGCCAAACCCAAGTGGCTCAACCTCTGTTGAGCTTTCATCGCACTTATCCTACCCCACCTCGTCGCCACGACCGTCCGGCACGAGCAGCTATCTCAGCAGCAGCTACATCGGGTCTTCTGGAACGGGAGTCAGCAGTACCGTGCCCGTCACTTCGGGTGCTTCTGCCTCTGTTTCCAGCAGCGTGACGAGCTCATCTCCCTATGCAAACTCCACGACCACGGGTCCCACGTCGACCATTTCAGATGTTAGCTCTACTACAACATCCGGGACCGGAATCAGTGAAACTCTTCCCATCATCTCGGAGACCTCCATGTTGGGGTCGACCACCACGGACACTTCGTCCCTATATAGCTTCACGGTCACGTCTGATATTGGGACCACCTCGGAAACCAGCTTCGTCGGATCGTCAGGGACTGGTATCAGCGAAACTCTCCCCATCATCTCAGATACTTCGACCACCAGAGAGAGCTCCACGGTGGCCGAATCCGAACCATCGGCAAGCAAGACCAAGACACCATGCGCGACTCGCTCGCACTCGTCCGACGTTGAGACGTCATCCGCGCCCGGAACAAGTGGGACCGATTCTTACCCTCCCAACGAGAGTACCGTGTCCGGCAACTTGCCGATTACGCCTTCATCGGACGTTTCCTCATCGCCGACATATTCTCCTCCTGCTGACAGTACGATTTCCGGGAACCTTCCCGTGACGCCTTCGGTAAGCCTGTCTTCTACGGAGGCGTACCCCTTGTATCCATCCGTAGAAAGCACCTCTGGAGAGAGTACGATTTCGAGCAATCTACCAATCACACCAACGCAGAGCTCGACCAAGGTCGCGTCAGAGACGTCCCCTCCTTACCCGCCTCCTGAGGAGAGTACCGTCTCGGGAAACCTCCCCGTCACCCCTTCTCAGAGCTTCCCAAGCAACGGCACAGCAACCTTCTCTCTGTTGCCCAGCGGAAGTACGTCAGGGGCCGGGTCGTCGACATCGGTGCCCAGCGACTCATCAACAACCTCGATCGTCAGCGAGAAGCCGTCCTACCTTCCCACGCCGAGCACAGTGTATCCTGAGCCGATCCCTTCAAGCGAGTCTACTATCTCCGACGCGCTGCCGGTCACACCCTCTAGTAGTGCCGATGTCCCGCCCAGCACGCTTGTGACGAGCACCAAGACGGCCCCCGAGACGAGCGAGAGCAGCGAGCCCAGCGGACCGACATCGTACTATGGAGGGTATGACTTTGGCTGGACGAGCGGTGGCCGCGCCGGATGGAAGCAGCAGCGCAAGGAGAAGGAGCGCCGAGGCATGTTCGGGCTCTTCCCGTAAGATAATCCAAATGAAGACCTGCGAAAATGGAGTCACGACACGAGGAGGCAGAGTGACTGGGGAGGGACGGGGTAATCGACCTCACGGCTGGAGTACAAATCGGCGGAGGAGATGCTTGGGTTTTCACGGCCCCTTGACATTTCATTTCAAATTTCCATTCTTCGGTGCTCTCGAGTTGATATTGATAGACGGGTTGTGCATACGTACGGCGTAGGATGTTCATGAGTCGCGATGTCTGCTTGATCATCGTGACAGCGATCTCATCAGGTACTGACCCATCAGTACTGGACCATACCCTCAGATCTAGCTCAGATCGGTACAGCCTGTCCATCGCTGGCTCATCCAGATACACCGAAACATCCATGCCCCCTTCCCTCCCCTCCATCACCTGCACACACCCGTCCATCCTCGGCATGACAGAGTGAACCCACGCCGGCCTCGCCCCAAACAACTCAACCTCATACACGCCAGTCCTCAGCCAAGACGTCACGAGAACGTGCCTCTCCCCCAAGAAGGCCTGCCAGATCCTCTGCGGCGAGACCTCCCCCTCGGCATCATGCAGCACAGCCGCGACGGCGTCAGGCGTAAACCTCTGCAGACAGCGGCGAATCGCCACCGCCACCGCCGCCGGCCCGGCGACGACCTCGCGCGCAGCACGCCCCACGTGCGCCAGCACGAGCGGCGACCCGACGAACGCGTCGCCCAGAGGCGGCGCCGTCCTCGCCCGCACACCGAGCGTCAGGTTGAGAAAGACGTCTTCGTCCACGAGGCCGCGCGCGCGCACGATGCGCCGCCCAGACGTGCGCCAGCAGGGCATCGAGCCGCGACGCGCCGTCGACGCGCAGCGCGCGAGGGGGCGTCGGCAAAGTGCAAGACGGCGTGCTTGACGGGCCGCAGGGAAATCCCACCGTCGGCCAGGCGGGAATCTGCAGATCGTCCGGGGGGTTTCTTCTTTCGCTGCTGCTGCTGCTGCTGGCGGGAGGTTCGCGGCTGTGGGTTTCGAGTTGGCCGTCGTCGGCGCGAGGAAGGGCGGGTAGGCGGGCGCGGCGGTGGCCCACCAGTCGAACCTGTGCAGCGGCAGCGTTCGCGCCTGGGCCGTCAGCGCGGCGTCCCTCTCGCGCGTCGGACGGCCGGCGCCGTGGATGGCGTGGGCGTCGAGACGGCGCGGGGCAAAAACGGCGTGGTGGGCGGCGGGGGGGCGGCGTGGGCGGCGGACCAGTGGCGCATGAACTGGAGCAGCGTGTGCGCGTCGGCGAGCGGGTGCGCCAGCTTGACGGCGACGGCGTAGGCCTGGGGCAGCAGGGTGATCTGGACGATCATGGCGGGCAGGCCGTCGGCTGTTGCGAGGTCGTGCAGCGCGAGGGGCGTCTGCGAGGCGAGGAGGGCCTCTTGCGGGAACGTGCCCTCCCAGATGGTGGCCTTGGGGATGGAGATGTTTGCGGAGGAGGCGATGACGGTGTATTCGACGCCTGGGTCGGAGGGAGAGCCGTAGGTGACGGCTGCGCGGTTGAAGCGCTGGGTTGACGTGTCCCAGTGCAGTTGGCCGGCAAAGTGAGGGAATGAGGAGAGTGTTTTTGTGAAGGAGGCCTGAAGCTGGGAGAGGAAGACCTCGCGAGCGAGAGGAGGATATGCGTCGAAGACCCAGATGGCGCCCGTTGGAGAGAACCGAGCCACTGTGTTGTCCAGGATGGACAGGGCCGTCGTGGTTGGAGGACCTGGGGTTGAGGGAAATACGCGGACGGGCTGGTGAAGGGCCATTTTGGTGTGCTTCAGAGGGGTGTTGATGGCCGAAGAAGCGTATCGTCACGATTCTGTGATGTGTTCTCTTATATGGTATGAAACAAAAGCAGATACATCGCAGGCCACGCCGACGAGGATTGAAGATGCAAGATGCCGGCATGTGGCGCGGCACTCGATGGGACCCGCTATGAATCATCGTGAGCGATCAATCATCGTAAGCGATCAATCATCGTGAGCGATCAATCATCGTGAGCGATCAATCCTCATGAGCGATCACGATCCTCTCCCAATGCGCGCGCCTCCAGAAACGTCTCTATACTCTATGAAGCAGGTCATGGATCCCAGGCAATCGAACACACACACACACACATCCAAGACAGCATGCCCATTATTTGCCTTGCGAGAACGAAACGACAGCCCACTTGCCATTCCACGCCCACTTGCGCGCCCCCGAGTCGCCGCCTCCGCCCTCCAGCGCCCGCAGCTCCTCGTCCTTGCCCGCCGGCAGTCCGACGACAACGTCGGCCTTGCACGTGCGGAGCGCCAGCACATTGAGACCCGAGCCGGGCCCGAGCGTCTTGATCGCTTCAGGGAAGGGTGTCGTCGGGCCCCAGTCGG